AAGTTGGTGCCAATTAGAGTCATCTTTCCCACATGTGCTTATTATTCAAATTAGCTGGAGCCTCTGTAAACATTTAGATTTCCAACTCATCCCCAGAGAGCCAGAGGCAGCACCCAGAAATCAGTATTTTTTAACAAGCTCCCCCATGAGTGTTATGATCAGGTAATTTTGGTAACCAGTGAATTAGAGTTCACCAAGATGTTGCAAGATTGTTCTTGATGAATATGTGGCATTCACTGTTCAGGGCCAATAAAATCTTACTGTAAACAGAGTTTTGGATTACGTTCTTTTATAGAATATCCAGAGTATAGTTGCAATTTTTTTTTGATTTATGCTTTTTAAAAACCTGGATAATTTGAGGGAGGGAGACAAATAGAATATTACCAGCTTCTTTTTTTCCCCCAAGAAGAAAGCCCCCATGGTGTGAATTCAGGTTTATTTAAACACCATGACATTATGACTAATATATTGGATGAGAAAATCCATTTTCATTTCTAATTTTTCCATATAAGAAGGCTTCCTGAAATTTATTATTGTTTTACTTTGGCTTATAACCTTAAAAATTAAATACTGAAAGTGTCTGTCAAATTTTGCAATTTTCCTGCTAACTGCAATAAAAAACAGCTCCAGGCGTATAAAACAAATGTCACTTTCATGAGAGCAAAGGAACATTTGGCTTTCAACTAAAAAATATATCTGAATCCATGTTGTAGAGAAATATTAAAGTTGGTTAAATGTTAGAAAATGTAGACTAGAAAGAGAAAAATAAGATTGTAGAGATCGTAATGAGGTAGTGTCATCACGTGCTCAATCATGAAAGATAAAATGTAGAATTTTGTCAAAAAACAAAATGTTAAAATAAATTATAGTTCTTATATAAGTTCTGAGAAGGTAGTGAGAAACTGACAATTCAATGAAGAGAACAGGCATCTATTTCTCTTCAGTTGACTTTTGGCATACACACACAAATACATATACATAATATACGTTGATACGTATATTTAGATACTCTTACATACATATATACTTTTTCCTTGACATCGCTTTCCTGAGGCTTAGTCTGTTATGACTAATAAAAACCAGAAAGGATATTCATACATTTTTTAAAAAAATTGACATTCTTACATTTTTAGTATTTCATTTACACCACCTGTGGTAAACCTAGAAAATTGCTATTATTTTGAGATTGTTTTTCTGAAGTAATCTTATTTCTGGATCTGTATCACAATTCAATATAAACAGCCTAAAATCTATTAGAGCAAAGTGGTCAATAAAAACAGAAGGACACATAAAAGAATTAGAAAAATTTTTGAAAATATTTCCTTGGAAAGGTACATACAGAAAACATTTCACAAGCCATGTTTTGCCCTGCAACATTCAATTTATTTGTCATATTTGTGTGGATGAAAGTTTGTAGTTGAATTTGCACTTGTAAACATTGCAGACTTTCTCCCTTATGGAAAGTAACCATGGGAAAGAAGACACAAATAATATTAGGAATCAATAGGAAATGGCTTATTCAGAAAAATTAATTTCTGAGTATAAGTAATATACCTAGTAAAAATAATAATAATAATAACAAAGCACAATAGTTATTTGGATTATATATAAACATTTATTTTGATTGGTATATGTATATATTGGAATGTGTGTATATATATATATATGTGTGTATATATATATATACGCACACACACACCTATATATTTTTTTTCCAAGTGTTCAAAGAACTTTTACAGTTCCTTCTTATACATTATTTCTTTATCATAATAGTATTGCTATATTCTTATGTACAGTTTGTTGGTGTTTGTCATTCCCTTCAGGAGTAAATAGTAAACTTACCTAAGGCTTTTCTTCAACATACCAAATTATTTACAATACCATAAACAAACTGGCTAAATTTAATTTTAAAACTACCAATTACATGGTATAAGTTTATCCAATTGTTATGTTTATAAATATTAAAATGGTTTAACTCTTCAGAAATTTTTACATTGAATAGATGATAGTGATTTATTGGCTCCCATAAGAATTCTGGCTTATATCCTGTTCACCAAGTATCAATTTACTTTCATAGGTGACCAACTTGCCAGTGGGAGCCTATTTTTTTTTTACAGTAAGACTTATTTGGGGAATGTCAAAATCATATGTTATAATAAATGTGGTTCCTAAGTCCATGGATTGATAGTCATGGTCTATTTTGTGTTTCTAGAGGCAGGTTTCTGGGGCTCTACATTAATTTGAAGGTAGACTAAGTTTGTATGCTACAAAGCCTAAAGAAATCACTGCAATAACATCAAAAAATTATACCAAGTAAGTGAACAACAACAATAACAACAACAACAAAATCTTAACTGGAATCATTAAAAAAACTTCAATTAATCCAAAAGAAGATAGAAACAAAAAAAAAAAAATGGAAAAAGATGCAACAAGTAGAAAATAAGCAGAAAGATGATAGATTTTAAACCCAATCATATTAATTTTCATATCAAATATAAATGGCTTAAATGCTCTAGTCAAAAAGCAGAGATAGTAGGATGGAAAAAGGAGACCCAACTATATGCTGCATAGAAGAAGTGCATTTCAAATATAAGGTACAAATAGGTTAAAAGTAAAAGAATGAAAAACACACACCAACATAGCATTAATCAAAAGAAAACTGGAGTGCCTCTATTAACAGCAAAATAGAATCCAGATCAAAAAATATTTCCAGGGATAAAGGTCATTTTCCAATAATAAAGGAGCTAGTTGATGCAGTGGACTCCACAGTCCTAATTGTTCACACATCTTTTAACAGAGCTTCAAAATACATCAAGCAGGGGCGCCTGGGTGGCTAAGCGTCTAACTCCGGCTCAGGTTATTGATCTCACAGTTTGGTTTGTGAGTTCGAGCCCTCTCTCTGCCGGGCTCTCTGCCCTCAACACAGATCCTGTTTCAGATCCTTTATTCCCCCTCTCTCTGTCCCTCCCCTGCTTACATGCTCTCTCTCTGTCTGTATCAAAATAAATAAATAAATAGAAATACATTCAAAATACATCAAGCAAACGCTGATATAACTATAAGAAGCAACAAAGAACATGACAATTATAGTTGGAAATTTCCACATTGCTCTTTCTGTAATTGATAGTACAAGGATATAGAAAATCAGTAAGGATATAGAATACCTGAATACTATCAAGTAACCTGGTCAACTTGATGAAAATTTTATATACAGTTCAGACAGATAATAAGTGTATTAACATGCAAATGCCTAATCTATTAATTAAAGGAAAAATTAAAAAATTGTTTACATATAATCATGAAATGACAAGCTTAATGTAAATGGAGTCAAAAAATATTTAATCAGTACAACAGTTTAGTCATATTTTTCATTATACCTCCTCCCTAAATCAATCTATACAAGGATTTTGCTATTACAGATATGCTTTTTAGTGAACATTACACATGGAAAATGTATGAGAATACTTATCTCTTTTAAAATTAATTTTAAGAGCTATATAATTTATGAAGTTTAAAAAGCTTCATCTTACGGAACAGATTTTCGTTTTCTATGCATCAGAATGCCTACTGTGAAAAGGTGAAAGGTAGGAACTGAAATAGTTATTTACAATAAATCATGGCAGATATTTGACTACAGTCAAAAATACATTTGAAGACAGTTTCACAAAAAACCCTATATACACTCAATCTAAGATGCTACTGATTAGAAAACATGCCATTATTTTAGGTTCCTCTAGAAAATAATAAATGCCTCCAATTAAAATTATGACATTGTAAGATATACCAATTTCTGAGATGTTAAAATGTAAAATGTGTGTGTGTTCTGAGATGTTAAATGTATCTCTAGATGCTAAATGGATGTGTTCTGAGATATTGAAAGGTAAATAGGTGTGGATTTTATAATCTAAACCTAAAGATATGTCTCCCCTGAAATGAATTTTATGTGAAGTGAATTCAGACTCTGTTGACTCACTGAAATAGCCATCTAGGCTTAGTATTTATTGGAAAATTAATAAATTCTCTGTCTTGAATTTTTGAAAAAGCAAGATATTCCCAACTCTCTGCTGGTGAATAATATACCAGGGAATAAAAGGGCTACACAAAATGGAAAAAGTCATTGTGAACTCAGAAATACTTAATGTATTATATATTTCCCCCCAAACCCTTGAAGTAAGAAGTTTGTTTCTGTTGATGTCTTTAGAAAACTAGAGTTCTTAGCACAAACATTCCAAGCAATGAATGAGTTTCAGTGTCATTGGCCCAACTAAGGCTATATTTTAACATCTGGCCCAATTAGTTATTGATATGAACCCTGAGCACTTCCATTTTCTAGGGCCCCACACAAATTCAGACCAGGAGATACTACAGGAAGATATTTAGAATGGTAAGAACATTTAGAAAAACAATTACAAATAGTATAGTGTAGAATTGGATGTTGCAATAATATATATTTATTACCATAATATTAAAACAGCTTACACAGGTTAAAAAAACTAAACAAATCTATGAATTAAAACACAATGAAGGAAACTGAGCGGAGAAACATCCTGTATTTTAATTTTGATGAAACAGTATAATAGTCAAAATTTGTTCATTTCTAAAATTCCTATTGTCAAAATAATCAAGGAAATATATAACTTAAAAATCTTTTAGTTAATTTTTAAAATATTTTTTGCCAAACTACATTTTTTGCCTAATATCAGTAACGTTTTTTAATAGTAAAGTTAATAGTGACAAGTATTCAGACAATAAGTATTTACATGTGCTTTAAGTTAAATTATTCAAGCTCCTATTAGGTTTATAAAATATAAGCAAATTTTACTTAGCTGGATCTTAGATAATTGATACTATGGAAAATGTTAGAATTTTTAATTTAACATACATTTTTCAGTGGATATAGCCATTATTTTTAATACATATGTCTAAGCAGTTCATTCAGTCATATTCAGATAGAGTTTGGTCCTTCACTTTGCATGTTATAAACCACCTGGATCACTTACCTTATCTTTTCTTTGCTTTTCATCCTGGTATACAGTCCAGTGTTCTCCATCATTGCTGTATGCTAGTTTGTAAGAACCTACGAACTGTACATGACCAAAATCTTTAGCTCCTTGTGTAATGATGCCAGTTACTTTGGTAGGGACCAGAAGGTCCACCTAAAAAAAGGAAAAGACATAATTTAAATGCCACAGCAGAGTCCATTATAAATGTGCAAGTTGCTCAAATTCAGGAGATTAAGTAACATACATGTTAAAGCCAAAGATCCACTGATTATTTGTATTTTGAAACTGATGACTGAGTCTGTGATTGGCTAATAATTTTGACTTTGCCACTGGATAAACTTAGTTGAAAACCTGAATAACTATTTTGACTGTTTTAAAATAAAATGATGGTCATTTTAGTCTATAATTCCTCTAGCTGTGCAGTTTTGTGCAACTAAGATTGAACAGGGCAGTCAGGGCTGATATTCTTGGGATGAAGGTCTTCCCCAGCTTGTCTTCCAGAGCTTGTGCTTATAATTCAGTTTTCTGACTTTACTGGTCATTTCAATTTTAATAAAAATCAGACTCTAGTTGTATACACATTAGGAATAGAAATGATATTATATCTATCACAGTTAAACATTAAATACAAAGTCAACATTATTTCCATGAGTTTTAATCAGCTCAGGAATATATAATTGAATAATAGTAATCATGTACAATGAAAATCTTGTTTAGAAAACTACAATTCTAAAAATGTTGAGGAGAAAGTTGGACATTCTTCAAAAATGAAAGAGGATTACAGTATGCATCCCTGACTTGTGGGATCTGTGCTCATGAGGTGTTTTTTCCTACAAAATACATACTTACAAAAGCAAAACACGCATGGAGACTCAGTAAGCATTAAATTAATCAAGATATGATTGAAATGCAAAAGACAGCATTGATTGTCATGAAAAAGAACACATAACATTGAATAATTTAGTAGAATTCTGTTCTCTAATTCATGAAGCTTTTCTTATATCTTATTATGTTAATTAAAAAAATATAGGAATCTTTGTTTTCCATGTGGACAATTCTCATAAGAGCTTTACCTTTAGGTTTATTAATGTTCCTTGATCTACAGCTTCCGCTCTCCTTCCACAATAGCGACCTACTTCCTCCTACTTCCTGTGACTAAGTGCCCTGCTTACATCCTTGATCTTATCATCTTTCACTGTCATGATCCCATATGTGACCTTGATGGCTTTCAACCACTATGTCCTTTTGTTTCTATTTCAGGTTCTTTATCCTGTGAGATGTATGCAGCCACAAATAGACAGTCATGGGTCAGATATAGTCCATGAATGAAAAGAGAGAGCCAGGGTGAATGTACTGAATAGACCATATTTAGTGACTGTATTTAGATGCTTTTCAGTAAAGATATGAAAAAAGTTCCCAAAGTTTCACAGCCTAGGCAAATTTCTTTAAAAATTCACAGGGGATTTGACCACTTTTTGTAACACTGTTTAATTAAAGACATCAGACTCAACTTGGACAATGAATTAAGACAGAAAACTAACTTTAATTCTTTATTAAAATACTTTAGAAAGTTTATCAAAACTAGAAAATATTTTTGTTTCTGCATATTTCCTAACATGTATTTATATCATCTAAAATATCTATCCTGCAGCAAAGCAAGGTGGCAAAATGATGATACCTGGGAAGCAAACTTTTGTTGCCTCATACACACTATGCTAAGTGCTTTCTTGTGTGTCCTCAATGAATCCTCTCTACAGCCCTGTACAGTACCTTTGAGATGAGGGAACAGAGGCTAATATATTATGATGTGTGATCCAAAGATAGATAGCGAGTAAAGGGAGGATACTAGATTCCAATTCAACATTCTGATTCAAAGTTCCATCATACATAAAAATTCTCACTCAATGATTTCTTGCTATTCTTTGTGATTATTTCAGAAATTTCTGGAGAATCTCAAAGTTTCCTCACTACACTCATTAAACTTACAGAAACTCTAAGCTCCAAACCAAAACAATCCTGGATTTATAATACGAGAAGAGCCCTGTAATTTTTGTTAATGTTTGTTTGTTTGTTTGTTTGTTTGTTTTTGAGAGAGAGAGAGAAAGAGAGAGAGGGAGAGAACATGTGCACATGAGTTAGGGGAGGGGCAGTGAGGGAGGGAGAGAGAGAATCCCAAGAAGGCTCTGTGCTGTCAGCGCAGACATGGGGCTCAAACCCACAAACCATGAGATCATGACCTGAGCCGAAATCAAGAGTTGGACACTTAACCGTCCGAGCCACTCAGGTGCCCCAGAAGAGCCCTGTGTTTTAACATGAACTTTGGCTCTGTTACTTCACCTATCCAGGCTTAAAAATACAGATTGCTTTTGTTCTAAGTCCAAATATAATTGTGCAGACACCTAGGCATTGCTACTGGTCTTCAAAATGCTTTTAATGTTGTTGACACTCAATTAAATGGGCAAAAAATCTTCCAACACTCTGAGTCACTGTGTTGCTTGCAAGGCTATAAACACACAGGAACTCAAACTGTCTCCAAGAATATGAACATTTCCATGGCTTGATTCTTCACTCTTTAAACCTCTATGAGTGTTTAGCTACAATGACGCAATGAAGAGTCTTATAGCGTATCTCTTTTTCTGTGGTATTTCTTAAAGTCAGCTGGGTTTCCTGCTGGGTGGAGATGTTTTCTCCTTAAGCTGTGTTTCTTGGCTCTTTCTAACAGATACGTTTTTCTCCCACTCTAACTGCTCCCCTTCTCCAGCTTTTTTGTTTGTTTGCTTGTGATCTAGAAATGTTTTTCTTTTTTCTTCCAGTTAAGTAAATTTCTCTACTTTAATAGTCAGCAATCTGTTTCAAGCTGGATTTGTCCTAAAATTTGCTACTTAATGTAGCAAAAAAACTTAGAATACCAGGCCTAAGCAAACCTTCTTTAATGTAAAAGTAATCAGCATCCCACACTTAACACGAAGCTGCTGCAACAGGGTATATACAGATCTCACTTTGAAACACACTCACAGACATGTCACCCTCATGTTCAGCATGCAGGATGATCCCAGAAAAGCTCATTTATCTGGATCCATGCTAACCCTTAGCTCATGAGCACTTTGCCCTCTTATGGATCTTCTGAGTTAAACTTGTACTGCAAACATGCTAGACAAAATGCCTTCAGCTGCTTTAGATAGACCTTTACCTCCAGAGGTTTGGCTCAAATACAGCAGGTTATTTAGGGCACTGAGCTGGCGTATGGGTAGACATTTGGCTTAGTGCTCTGCTCTTCATGTCTGGATCTGTATTAAATGTGCCTTATATGTAACAATCCCTCAATAAAAGTTTTGCTGGATTGAGTTAAAACTACTTCCTAAGTATGTTCTATGGACAAGAACCAACCATGCCTAAGGAGGCCACAAGGTACCATAGCAGAAAATGCCAAGAGTCTTTCTCTTGTTTCTGTACAGAGGATAACACCATTGGTCAAGGAAATATAGTATCACAGTGGCACCAACCAATTTTTACGGGGAAAGGCAACTAGTTAAAAATCTTCTCCGATCTTCTTAAGAGGCAGTCTATTGTGGAAGAGCTAGATGGTCTGGGTTCCCCAAATGGCTCTGCCCTCACTAGCTATATGCCCTTGGGAAAGCTACTTTATTTCTCTACATCTCAATTTCCTTATCTGAAAAATGAAGATAACAACCCTCATAGGATTTTTATGAGGATTAGGTGAGTTAATATTTACTAAGTGTGTAAAACAACATATAAAATATATTAAGGGCTATAATAGAATCTGCTAAGAGTAAAACAATAAATAAATCTGGGGAAATAATCTATTATCACTCTCAGAATGTTATTAGAAGCATAAATGTAGAAACAGAGAAAGAGGGTGGTTAGATTGTCCTACAAGCAACTTCTGGAACATAGTATATTTTGGTCACCTTCTTAAAAAAATAGTAATTTCATCTTCAATTAAAATAGAGAAAATGTGAAGCAACTGAAATTCCCATTTATGGATGAAATGTTTTACTAAAAGTAATATAATTTTATGGATTGTTGTACATCCTCATTTGAATACTAAGATTAATTACTGGAGGGAAATGGTTCCAAAATAATACTAAAAGAGAGAATTAGATTTGAAATTATGGTGAGTGATTTATTTTCCTTTAATTATATGAGTAAAAAATGAGAGATTCATATATAGAGAGGCTTAAATGACATAGAAGTAAAGAAAAAAGTATTGCATGAGGGTTATGTAGGAATGCAACTCTTATGTTGTAAAACATCCTGTAATGTTTTAGTGAAGCATAAATATTTTTAGAGTGTCTAACTTAGGAAAATTATAGAAAAACTAAGAGCATTTGTTTGACAAAGGTCAAGATAAATGGCATTTCAGATATCTGCATAACAGCTTGACAGATGGTTCCCTAGGAGAGCACACTAGGAAAGTCAGTTGATTTTCACAGAGATGTTCTTAAAGGGGTGAGGAAAATGAAAAGTGATACAGATAAACAGGTGTGCAACTGTGGATATTTTACATATAAATAATAGTAATAATAGTAATAATAATGTGTAATGGCTGTGCAACAGTCTCTGTTATAGTTACATGATAAATATGAAAATTATTTAACAAGTCTCCTATTGATATTCCTTTAATTTGTTTCTACTTCTTTGCCATCAGTAAAAACTTAGAATGAACTCCCAAGTTCATATCTTCATTCACCGATGCAACTATTTCTTGTAGGCCTAAATGACCTGCCATTTGAAATGTGATATGCATTGTTTCCTTCCTCTCAAGAAAGATTGTACACTTGCATCTAGGGTATATGATAAATCTTTCTCTGCATAGTCACCAATCTCATGTTTTCCAACGTTTATTTATTTTTTGGGACAGAGAGACACAGAGCATGAACGGGGGAGGGGCAGAGAGAGAGGGAGACACAGAATCGGAAACAGGCTCCAGGCTCTGAGCCATCAGCCCAGAGCCTGACGCGGGGCTCGAACTCACGGACCGCGAGATCGTGACCTGGCTGAAGTCGGACGTTTAACCGACTGCGCCACCCAGGCGCCCCACCAATCTCATGTTTTATAAAATTTTACATTTATGACAATTCTGAAAATGGATTTTTTATATTTAATGTACATAAATGGCAACAAGTGGCATT